CTTGGCTTAACATGGGTGCCATGCTGACCTTGGCTTAACATGGGTGCCACGCTGACCTTGACTTAACAGGGGTACCACGCTGACCTTGGCTTAACAAGGGTGCCACGCTGACTTTGGCTTAATAAGGGTGTCACGCTGACCTTGGCTTAACAAGGGTGCCACGCTGACTTTGGCTTAACAAGGGTGCCACGCTGACCTTGGCTTAACATGGGTGCCACGCTGACCTTGACTTAACAGGGGTACCACGCTGACCTTGGCTTAACAGGGATACCACGCTGACCTTGGCTTAACAAGGGTGCCACACTGACCTTGACTTAACAGGGGTACCACGCTGACCTTGGCTTAACAAGGGTGCCACGCTGACCTTGAGTTAACAAGGGTACCACGCTGACTTTGGCTTAACAGGGGTACCAACGCTGACCTTGACTTAACAGGGGTACCACGCTGACCTTGGCTTAACAGGGGTACCACGCTGACCTTGGCTTAACAAGGGTACCACGCTGACTTTGGCTTTGTGGTGACAGTGAGCAATGTTAATATAAATTGTCATGAACTGTAAATATGCAAGTTTACCGCTATAAACGTTCATTCCAGAGTACAGGTCGAAAGCCCAATAACTTGCATTTCAAATCGCATACCTGAATTGTATAAAAGTGAAATGAGAGGGGTGATTGGTATTATTCAGTAACAGTAGTTATTTCCTTTGTCATAGATAAAATATTATAATTTCCAATGGGGTATGCAGTATGTAATTTTAGTTATCATGTCGAATATAAACACAGACAGGAGCTACATAGAAACTAAAATTTAAATTTACTTTTCGTGCGCAAAGAAATACAGATTATAAACATATATGTTAAACTGTTGAACAATATGCTAATGAAACTAAAGAAAAAATGAAACATGACTTTAGTTTCAAGACACATAAAAATTATTTGTTTGTTTCGTGTAATAATCCCAATATCAATTAGTCCTATTTTCATGCAACTTCTCATACACGTGCCTTTAAGCAAACCCCACTGTTAATCACAGTGACAGTATTTGAACACAAACGATTAATAACTCTTATCTTTCAGAAAAAGGTATCGAGAAACTATAATCCAATCACTATGTTTAATCCCTATTATGAGACTAATGTCTGGCTTGTATTGAATTAATTTTGGATCAGTACGCAGTGCAGCTTTCTTTTTTATGGATCCATGGTTCCACTAACCCGTTGCCCAATTTGTTACTAAATGTTATGTATGGTACAGTTTAAATCTGAAAGCCATATTTGCCTGGCTTTACTACCACAACCATGGCTGTAATGACGATTTGTTTGTTTGTGAAATTTCGCGCAAAGCTATTCAAAGGAGATCTGTGGTAGCCGCCCATAATTTTGAAGTAATAGACCAGAGGAAAGCCATCTAGTCAACACCACCTATCGCCAACTCTTGAATTACTCTTTTATCAACAGCTGAAAGGGTGAGCATGTTTGGTGATGGGATTCGAACCCGCAGATTGCAAGTTCAGTGCACTAACCACCAGGCTATGCCAGGTCTGTAGCTACTATAGAGATATAGAGAAGTATTACTGCAAAACTTGCTTAGATTATTTTAGTGTAATGCAAAAACTTTGATTTTTAAATTGCATGATAATGAAAACAAGGCTCATGTTTAGGGAAAAAACATTTTATGTTAATTAGTTTAAACCAGTAGAAATTCCGTCTGTTTGTGATAGTAATTACTAATCGTAGTATTCATACCTTATTTTAAAAAATTTAGAAAGTGAATATTTTCTAAAAAAAGGATTTTTTTTCTGGAAAGTACTGCACGGGAAAAGTGTTCGTATTGTGATTTTTAGTCATATGCAACTCATTGCATCAAAATGATTCAATGTACAGAGCTCAAAATTTTCACAAATTCTATTCATATAAACTGTAATGTTTTTATATGTGACAAGTGCTACCCTTTATGGAAAAAAAAACTACATCAATAGCGATATAATCAAACCCTCACGTACAGTCCTAGTGAAAGTCATGTTCTTGTTGTGAGGAGAGTACTTTTATTTAACATTGTGTTCTATTATAAAGAAATGGTTGTTACTCAAGCAACAGTTACTTTTCTAATTGTCTGAATCTTGAATACCCAAAGGATGAAATTTTTTATTGATTTTCGTTTGTGGTACTATTCAATAGATGGCGCATGAGTTTTGGTTACTTACATAGATACTGACATACACGCTACGTCCATTATAGTAAGATTGGGTTCTGCAATTCCTTTATCTTACTGATTATCAAGTTACGCTAATGGTGACAGAAACTTTTATAATATTACCAGAGAAATTTATAATTTTCAATCTCGTGAGTAAAAATATTTTATCGTAATAATAATAAAAAAACATATTCATAGACTTTATTCAGACCCTTGTATTTTAACCTAGATAAAAGCAATAATTTCTTTTTTTGTTTGTTTTGAATTTCGCACAAAGCTACACCAAGGCTATCTGCGCTAGCCGTCCCTAATTTAGCAGTGAAAGACTAGAAGTAAGGCAGCTAGTCATTACCGCCAACTCTTGGGCTACTCTTTTACCCACGAATAGTGGGATTGACCATCACATTATAACGCCACCACGGCTGTAAGGGTGAGCATGTTTGGTGGGATGGGGATTTGAACCCGCGACCCTCAGATTGCGAGTCAAGCGCCCTAACTACCTGACCATACCGGGCCGAAAGCAATAAACGAATATTCTATTTTTTTTGTTTGTTTTTTAAATCTAAAAAAAAAACTAGTAAAATTTCTAACATTTTGGGCGATCTTGATAAGTTTAAGTAATTATTGCACGATTCTAGCGAAAACACTTGTTTCTCAACAAAAGACAGTAACAATATTACAGTACGTCTTTAAGCAAACTTTGCACCATCAAGTGTCGCGTACAAAAAGAAAGGTTTCAGATGTAAACACATTTGGATTAACGTGTATTCAGACTAATTCGAAACAATACAACACAACGAACACAGTACAATAACACTGTTTGGATATGCAAATAAATACCTTCGAGACATGATTCAAAAGTAGTATCAGCAAATTTATTGTGAAGCTGAGATCTTAATGTGTCATTTACATTTGTTTGTGTTATCTCAATAGCTCTCCTTCAAGTTGGTCAACAATACTTAAACAAAAGAAGTCGCAATCCTATTGATAATGGGAAGAGGAGCCATAAAAGGGATTTTGGGGATGGGTGAGTAATAGTGATCATTCCCCGTGAAACAAAAATTCTTGTTTCATTTTAAAATTACAGTAATTTCTTCATAAGTATAATAATTGCATCAATTAATTATTAAACCAGAAAATTTGTTTGTTTGTTTGAAATTAAGCACAAAGCTACACAATGGGCTATCTGTGCTCTGCCCATCACGGGTATCGAAACCCGGTTTTTAGCGTTGTAAGTCCGCAGACATACCGCTGTGCCACTGGGGGGCAAACCAGAAAATTTTGAATTAAATTGAATGATGCACTATAATAAAAAAAATTGAATAATTTCTATTGATTTCTCAAAATTAAATTTTTATGACCTTCCAAAAACGTTTTTGATAAGGTGGCTTAAAAAGTGTGATTATTTCATTAATTCATTATTTGTTAAGACGAATTTTTTATTATTATTTGTAATTATCTAGATTTGAGAAAATCATTGAATAAATTTAGATTTTTCTTCACAATATTCAACCTCTAACACATATTTTCTAGATATTTTTCTTATAAATTATTTTTTATTTATCTTTATTCTCTTGCTATTCATTTTGAAATGAGAACAAACGCGAACCTCTAAGGAAAGATTAAAGCAATTAATGAAGGTATCATGTGTGTTAGAATTTGTTTTAATTTACAAATACCAATAGCTTATTTTGCATTTCATCTAACAGTCATCATAATCGTTCTACATTATCCCGGCCACGTGTATTCAATGTAAACAAATACGTTTCTTGATTATTATGTTTATGTTGATTTTTAAGTTTTTACAACTGAGCTAGGCCCGGCTTGGCCAGGTGGTTAGGTCGCTCGACTCGCAATCTGCGGGTCGCGGAATCGAATTCCCGTCATACCAAATATGCTCGCCCTTTCAGGCGTGGGGGCGTTAATAATGTGACTGTTAATCCCACTATCCGTTGGTTAAAGAGTAGCCCAAGAGTTGGCGGTGGGTGGTGATGACTAGCTGCCTTCCCTCTAGTCTTACGCTGCTAAATTAGTGACGGTTAGCGCAGATATCGCTCGGGTAGCTTTGCGCGAAATTCAAAACAAACAAATAAATTATCCAGTTATATTCTTGCAGATTCGCGTTGTTAGTTTCAGATATGCAACGGTGTGTATTTCATTGTTTGAGAAGTAACTCCACTTTTAATATAACAGACCACTTTTTTTACAAACAAACAAAAAACGCAACAGTTATATAAAGAGAATGAATTATTTTAGAAAAGAAGCAATATTAAGTTAATTTTAAATGTTAATAGCAATAATGTGAATTATTTGAAAAATTTCTGATTTTCAAACTATCTTTTTCTGTAGAATAAATTTTGTAAAATATTGCATAATTGTGGTGTTTGAAAGTTACTTAAAAATACAAATATGACCTTAAATTTCTTTTCTCTTAGCACTTGTTTATAGTTAAAGTGAGTTGCTTGTTTTTTAAGGAGGTTTTTTGATTTTAATGGCAGCTTTCAGTACTCTTGATAAAAGTCAAATCAGTTAATATTTGTCATTTGATGGGAGAACCTGGAATTGTGAAACTAAGGAAGTTAAAGTTGTCTGCTCTAAAGTTATGTAAATATATCTGGAACACGTTGGTTGGTTGTGGTTGCAACAGATAATGTAAAGTTTTTTGTGTCAAAGTTCTAGGTTTAGACCATTAGGAATTATCATTCTTGAAAACGTCTGGTAGTAGTCACTGAGATGAACAAACAGGGACACTGAGAATCATTGATTAAGTCAGTCTTTAGGGTTGAAATTCGTTGAATTATAGGTTAACTAAGGAATTGGTGATTCATTTTGTGGAAAACGAAGTCTGATAATGAAGAGTAGAGCCACGGGCAACAATTGTGAATATCTTTAATGAATGTTAAAACCCAACTCAATAATCTGCTCAGGTCTTTCTACCCCCAGATTAAACATAATATTGCCTTTCAATCACGACTTCTTATTAATAACTTTTTTAGAACTGAAGACATTTTACCTTCACTCTTACATTCAACTATACATGTGGTAGCTGTAAAGCCACCTACATAAACAAGACTTCTCGCCATTAACAAATACGCGCCTTGGAACAGGTGGGAGTTTCTAATAGAACTGGACTTAAACTTCAAACTCCACCTAACTCTCCTATATGTTCTTATAACGAAACTTCGCTACACCCATTTCCTTAGAAAACTTTTTAATTCTAACTTATGGATGTAATGATGAGGAACTATTGATAAAAGAAAATATATATATTATGAATGAAAATCTAAGCCTTAATAGAAATTCTAACTCTTTCCCCTTTTCTTTATTCAAACAGCCCTTTTTCGCTTTCTGATGCCCCCAGTGGCACAGCGGTGTCTGCAGACTTACAACGCAAGAAACCGGGTTTTGATACCCGTGGGGGGCAGAGCACAGATAGCCCATTGTGTAGCTTTGTGCTTAACTTCAAACAAACAAACTCTTTTTTTTAATGAATATTTTATAATTTTCAAACACTATTCGTTGTATTTTTATATTAGTAATTATACTAATCATTGTTCCATTCGTTATTATCATAGACTTGCTGAAGATGGAACATGTGTAATTTCTAAATGTTCGTTAAAGATGTTTACAGTTGTTGCCCTGGAAATACATTTCATTAGGTAGATGTTGTCTTAACTATATGTATTTTTGTCTCATTAAAATACAAATTCAAGATCTAAGAATATCTTCAGTGAATTCGAATGATGTTTTACCCTGTGTTTTGTAAATATTCCAAGTTTTACATTTATATATATATAATCTGAATGTCTGTTTGTTTCTAATTCAACACATGCATTACTTACGTCAAATCTAAATCTGGCTTGTAAGATTAAGCCTTATTTGAAGTAAGGTAGGCTTCACGTAGGGATAGCATAATTTGTTTCACCACGCCTATAATTCGGACAAGAAGATAGGGCGTTTTTATTATAAAGATAAAATCGATCTAAGAATTATGAACTAATATTACCCAACAGGAAAGAGAATCTCGTGAAGTGGCAAATGATCTAAAGCAAAGAAAATTATGTGATCTTATTCAGGAATGACTTCAGAGACTCAAGAGCTCACTAACACTACCAACTAAGTGTTATGGGGCACACAGTCATTATCAATACACATAGATGCAGGTAAAAGTAACGGAAAGAAATTGAATTAAATGTTACTAAGTGTCTAAAAGACTTCCCCTGGCCAAGACACTGATTGAAATACTCACTTGGATGAATGTGAGCCATTAGTAAAGGATTTAAGAGAGTTTCTAAAAGTATCTAATTTTTCTGTCGATTTGTTTGCAATTGTACACAAAGCTACACAATGGACTATCTAGAATGCTGTGCTAACCACGGGTATTGAAACCCGATTTTTAGCATTATAAGCCTTCAGACTTACCACTGTGCAACTATGTCTAATTGGACGGTTTATTTGCTCTTTAAGAATTTTCTCAGATTATAATTAGGAAATTCTTCAATTACACAAAACAAAATGGCTTACAAGCTTGCAAAACAAACTTCTTATCCGGTTAGAAGATTATAAGACTTAGTTCTGCCTTTTAACAAACTTAACTTTCCGCCAAGTTAGGGCCTGGCATGGCCAGGTGGTTAGAGCGCTCGACTTGCAATCTGTAGGTCGCGAGTTCGAATCTCCCTCACACCAAAAATGCTCGCACTTTCAGCCGTGGGGGCATTATAATGTGACAATCAATCCCACTATTCGTTGGTAAAAGATTAACCCAAGAGTTGGCGGTGGGTGGTGATGACTAGCTGCCTTCCCTCTAGTCTAACATTGCTAAATTAGGGACGGCTAGCGCAGATAGCCCTCGTTTAGCTTTGCGCCAAATCCGTAACAAATAAACTTTAGATAAGTAAAAAGAGTATGGGGAAAGGTTCGAGAAAAACTATCTTCTGTGGAGCATCGGAAAGTTTGCAGTGAATTCCATGAAACGTTTATCTGAGCTGGGTTTTTTAACTTACTATCAAGGTCGACCGAGTCCCAGTTACTTCGGATTGAATACTTGGTCCAGGTTTTAAAACATATTCTCTTACAGACTCATATCTTGGCCTACCCAACCTGAGGTGTTGCAGTCATCTTAGATACTGATACTAGTGACACAGCTGTGATAATTAAGATACGGAACGGCCAAAAGAGATAAATAATACAGTGCTACATTCACCATTGAAGAACGGCTCGGTAACTAAGAATAAGTGATTAATAGCAGACAGTTTTGTGAAAAAAGTTTAGATTAAGAATAAATCACACACTTCTTTTTAATGGTTGATGAAATATCGGCGTCCTGATGAAATAATTACTTTATTGATTGCGATTCTAGATGAACTTATGTTTGTTATCAAGCATCACCAAAAGAGATCACAGAGTAATGTAAGAAAAAACAAAAAATATTTATATCATCCTCTGGAGATTTATGTTTTAAGTTTTAAACGTCAAATGTAGTTTATCGAAGAAACGAAAGCTTGACAGTAGTAGACAGAAATTGAGAAGATATATCACCAAGGTAAATCAGCCACGTTTATCGAAGAAATGGAAAGTTGAAATCAAACATATTACGAATGTTACAAATGAAAAATAAAGGGGTAATAATAACCCCTGCCACCAGTACAGTTGAGGTAAAAATGAGTAATTATAGGAATCTTTGGAGTGAATATCATGCATTAAGAAGTTCTCTCCTGATCTTTGGTAAATGATGAACAGGCCAGTTCATCAATAACGCAGTTCAATTACTACTTCTATATCTTTGGAGTGAATATCATGCATTAAGAAGTTCTCTCCTGATCTTTGGTAAATGATGAACAGGCCAGTTCATCACTAACGCAGTTCAATTACTACTTCTAAATCTTTGGAGTGAATATCATGCATTAAGAAGTTCTCTCCTGATCTTTGGTAAATGATGAACAGGCCAGTTCATCAATAACGCAGTTCAATTACTACTTCTATATCTTTGGAGTGAATATCATGCATTAAGAAGTTCTCTTCTGATCT